ATCGGGGTAAAAATGGTAAACAGTAGGGACCAAATCAGGGATTTTTTTAGTTCAGAGACCAAATCAGGGGTCCGTATAATAGTTCAGGGACCAAAAAGGGGTTTTAACCTAATAATAATAATGATGAAGGATTCGATTCTTTCATTGTCTGGCTCATAACAACTCTCCCCTTTTAGTCGTCGGCTCTTCTTCATCCCGAGTCTCTCCGACAATACAATCGCATCTATCCATCTCTGACTTCTCATCTTCTCTTGCGTTTGCAGGTACATCTCAATTCCTGAGTCCAATTCTCCGATTGTGGTATGGGTTTGGCTTCTGATTTCTTTTTCTCAATTTTTCAGGGGTCGATCTTGCTGTTGTTCGTTGCTCGGCTTTTCTCTTATCGACAATGACTCATATCCTTTAATCTGTTCTTTTTTCAATCTGGGTTTCGCTGATTATTGTTTGATTCTCAATTTTGTAGTTTTTTATTTGCCGATTGTTATGCTTTCTTGTTTGTTCTTAACCTGATGCTCACGCGGTAATCAGAGAGAAAAAGATCGTGAGAGGGCTCAGGCGAGAGCAGGCAGCAGCAAGGCTAAGCAGTCGAAGAGCGATGGTTTGACTCCTGAACAACGCCGTGAAAGGTCCGTCGTCTCTAGCCTTTTCTTTTAATTCTATATGTGTTATGTGTTCTTCTAACTATTTTTTTTTTCGTTTTGACTTGCAGAGATGCGAAGGCGCTTCAGGAAAAGGCCGCGAAGAAGGCGGCCCAGGAAGAGGGAGGGAAAGATGCTGGAGGAAGTAAAAACAAGAAATAATATTGGAGGGAATAATGGAAGAAGGTAGTGTTATATGTCAATTGGGACTGTTTGTACTTGGTTCAGATCTGGGTTTCTTTTGCTTTTCAAAGTCGTGTCTATGTCTTCCCTACCTAAACAAGCAGTTTGCTGTATGGTTTCTTAGCATTGATGTTGGCTTTTGAATTGATATCTGATTTGGATTCGAATGCATTTCCTATAAACCATTTTTGCATTTGATGCTTTGTGTATTTGTTCCTTTTGTTTTCCTTTTGTATTATATCGTTTTAATTTTTTGTTAACTTGTCAGTGTAAGCATCTTTGTTGCTGCTAGATTGTGGTTGGTATCTTGCATTGATGAGATGCAATCACCAGTGTGACTACGGGTATATGGAATATTGGTGCATCGTATTTAATTTTCTTTTCCCAGTGGTTCTATAGTTGTTTCATGATCTAAGAAGTTGGTTTTCTTAACTTTAGGTGGTGCAGGGGTTCTGCTGAATTTAATGATGTCTTAATAGGGATGGAAGTTCTAGTGCTTATTGAGTTGATGAAGTGAAAATGAGGAAATTAGGAAGTTTGGTGTTTATAGTTGACTTTGAAAAAGCTTATGACTGTCTAAGTGGAATTCTTGGACTGCATGATGGTTTAATTTGGTTTTGATCCCAAGTGGAGGAGGTGGATCATAGAATGCCTTTCGTGTTTCCATCTCATTCTTGTTAATGGGAGTCTTAACAGATGATGTTAAAATGCAGAGGGAAGTGGCAGGGGGACCCTCTATCTTCTTTCCTATTCTTGATGTTGGTGGAGGAGTTACATGGTTTGATTAAAGACATTGAGGCTCAAGGTCTACTCAAAGGCATCCAGATTGTTAATAATTTATGAGTTTTACATTTACAACGCCAACGAGATACCATGTTAATGGGTGATGCAAATTTTGAGAAATTTTGTCAGTTAAATGAGTCCTAGGATGGTTTGAGCTTATATCTGTACTAGAAATAAACTTTCAGAATAGTTGTTTAATTGGTATCAACACCAACTGCCTGGTGCATTAGAGCTGCAGAGTTCCTGAGACGTAAAAGAAGCTTAATCCCTTTGTCTTATATGGTTTGCTGGTGGGTGATAATCTTAGAAGGATGATTTGGTTTCTGGTTATTGAAAAGTTTGGAGCAAAGCTATATGGTGGGAAGGCAAAATCTCTGTCTGCTGGTGCTCAGCTCGTCCTCTTTCCACAATAAAGTACATTCTTCTCTTCCCTTACACTTTATGTCTTTATTGACAGATTTCTTCTTTGGGGGATGGGTAATGAGGAGAAATGGAATACAGATTCAGTGAAATGGAGTTGGGCCTGTTTTAATTAAAGGCAAAGGTGATCTAGATATTGCTAACTTCAAAAAGAGAAATTAGGCTTAATTAGGTAAGTTGTGGTCTAGATTTGAGGTTGAATGAATGGTTCATGGAAGAGAATAAATTGTTTTTTTGATGTGGATAAAGTTGAGAGTAGGTGCTTATCCAGAACATGGGGAGACATCAGTTCTCTAGGTAGAGGGTAGTGAAATGGGTAAGCAGTTGTCAAAAGGCTTTAAAGGGGAAGTGGGACTGGTGCTGTTATTAGATTTTTGGAGGATTTATGGGTAGGTGGTGTTGATGTTAAAATCAGTGAAATGGGTAGGTGGTGTGATGGAGTACAGAGGTCTCTTTTTGGGAGAGAATGTCATGAGAAAGAAGGAGAACTTGTTTAGACTTTTGGAGGGTGTTAATGTGATTAAGGGTATAAATGACAGAAGGTTATGACTGTTTAGATACAGAACCCTGTGTTGGACACTTTTCTATGCAGTGCTTTATAGAGAGTATATTCTTGGAAGACTTAGTTTTTTGCTTGGAGAATGCTTCTCAACAAAATAGCAACTAGATCAAACCTGTTTTGCAGAGGCATCATTAAAGAGAAGAAAATCTGCCTTACATCCTTTTTATGGTCTTTAGATACAGGATGTGAATCATTTAATGTTAAAATGCTCCTTTTCCTAATGTTCATTGTGATTACATGGTTTATTTGGCTAGCTTGCAACAATGCCATTTTTAATAGTATAGAAACATTGGTGGGATAATATCTTTGAATTAGTTCGTGTTCATTCTTTCCTATGGCTTAGGGGCAAGGTTGAAGGTAGTGTTTTTTCCTATGCATGACTGGTGTCTAGACCCAAAGAGCTGTGTGGATTGTGTGTTTTTCTTTAGATGTCTTTGGCCATGTGTCCTTGTGATTTGTAGGCTTGCAGTTGTGTTTGCAATGGTGATTTCTGTGTTGAGGTAAGCAACTTACATTGTTTGTAAATATGTAGAAGAGTTGGAGCATCCCTGGTAGTCCCATTAATAGAAAATTTGTTTTTGCGGCTGATAAAAAGAAAAACAATGGAGGGATGACATAGGTTTGTTGGCCTCTATATAATGATCTATAGTTGTTGAATGTTTGTGTTCCAATAATTTACTCATATTTTTCAATATGGAACTTTCAAGTGTCACTAGAGATGAATAGTTCAAGCTTTTCAGGTAAAATTGTGATACATGATTTGTTTTCGATGATTGCTAGTTGATGTATTATTGTCAGTGTTTGTGGCCATGGGATATGTATTGAATTCAATATGTGAAACTTTCCTGCATTCAAAAGAATTGAACTTCTGACATGGGAAGGTTTTAGTAGAGAAATCAATTTGGCATGCCCGCTGGTTACTTGAAGCTGCTAGTCATCTCAGTTTATCAAAATGCTTCTTTCCTTAGATTACCCTCCCATAGTTGAATGGGAAGACAATTCCCTTTCAGTTGCCTTCCAGTTTCAGTTGTCTTTCTATGTTTTGAAATCTAAATTTAAACCTTGGGACCGGTAGAGAAGGGTTTGGAAGAGTGGAAGGCAATTCCCTTTCATGTAGCTTATCATTGTTAGATGTAAACAAACATTGCCAGTCAAGTTTCTGTTATTGTGTTGTGTTTCTGACTTCTTGGATGATCTAAGCCTACAATTATGTGTTCCTAGCAAGGTAAGGTAATAGGCAAGGCAGGCAGCTCCATCAAGGGAGGCTTGGGTGGCGATTTCTTCGATGATTAACGTTATCTTTGACGTATACATAGCTACTCGCAATCTTGTAGATTGGAACCAAAGTAGTCAATACCGTATCGATATGCGTATCAATTTTGTTACTGGAACGGTACGTATTGGATATCGAAATTTTTCGCGTATCGTTTCAGATTTGTTGCTATAAATATATATTTTTATAAATT